TCAGCTGCTCATCCTCAGAAATCACTGCCCTATCCTCAGGCCTATTTGGGACTGCAGGTTGTACATGAATAATATTTGGAACCTTAACATTCACTCGCTACTCAGGAGTGCGGGCGGCAGGAGTCTGTGCTCCTCCCCCGGCCTGAGATGTAGCTGCAGCAAGGGGAAGCAACCCTGCCTAATCCAGAATGGTGTACATGCTCATGAACTGCGCAAGAGTCTTCTGAAGCGCTGGAGTGGTAGTAGTAGTAGGCGTATCAGGTGCCTGAACTCTGGCTGGAACTACTGGTGGTACCTCGGTGGTAGCTCACGCAGGTGCTTTGGTTGTACCGCGTGCGCGTCCTCCGCCTCTACCTCATCCCCGGCCCCGGCCTCTGACAGCTCTAGTAGGGGGCGCTGGAGCCTAATCATCTCTGGTAAACGTGTCCTCACCATCTGTGAGAGAATAGAAGACAAGTTTAGAATTCTGAAATCAAAAACCTCGCACGACAAGGAAATCAAATGAAGTGTAATTTTTCTAACAGTTACATAGCCTCTCGTAGATAAGTACATACATCTCCGTGCCGATCCGCGAGACTCTAATAAACCGGCTTGTGATTCACGACTCCTATGAACCTAGAGCTCTGATACCAACTTGTCACGACCCCAGTTCTCCCTCCATGAACTATCGTGGCGGTAGTCTCTACGATTAGGTAAGCCTAACAAATGCGGAAAGAAAATAATTAAATATTGAGATAACAAAATGAAACAGTGTTTAAGTTGCTTCCTAACATATAATAGTACAAGAATCTCAACCTAACACTCCCAAAATCCAGAACCCCATGAATCACAAGCTAAGAGTTTACACAAAAAGCTCTAACTCCAGAAATATCTATCAACAAGGAAAATACAGAAGGGCTATACTAGTAATGAGAATAGAAAGGGACTCTTCGGTCTGCGGACGCGGCAGATATACCTCGAAATCTCTACGAAAGCGCCTCGCCTCAAGTGTGATAAGACTGAGTGGAAGTACTTGGATCTACACATGAAAAACACGCGCAGAAAGGGCATGAGTACACCACAACGGTACTCAGTAAGTGCCAAGTCTAACCTCGGTTGGGTAGTGACGAAGAAGGTCAGGGCCCTACTGAGATTTAATGAAATATAAGGTATAACAGTATAGAATGAGATAGTACAACTAAGTGCAACAGTAATAAATACCACAGAATAGAAAGAACAACAACAACTATAACCGAGACAAAATAATCACGGAAAGGATTACAACTCAACATAGAGATAACAACCGGAGATCTCCCAAGATACCTTCATGTAGTCCCCAAATATAAATATCCAGTGGATCTCTCTGGTGCATTCCCGTAGTCTAACTCATAATGCGCGGGGATCTGCCAGAAATCCGATCCGTAGTCCCAAATATAAATATCCAGTACAGGGGGAATCTACCGGGTGCAGTCCCGTAGTTCCAATGTAAATGTGTAGGGTGATCTACCGGAATACCAATCCGTAGTCCCAAAGTAATACGTAGGGGGGATCTCCCGGGATACCGTCTTGTAGTCCCAAAGTAAACACACAACAACAACACAAAGAATAGACAATTCAATTCAAATTCCATACCAAGGTAAAACAGGTATTTCTAGCCTAGCATACTGCACATAATCTAAATAAGGCAGTTTGAGTAAGTAAAGCAATTAAGTCAATTAGGCATGTTTCCTTAAGCTAACAACATGCTTAAATTGTAAGTAATATAAATAGGAAAGAAACATAATTATAATTACTTAATGAAAATCTGGATTTTCCAACAATTAGCACAAGTACGCACTCGTCACCTCACGTACAAGGAATTTTAAATTTCAATAATACCAAATCCTAAAGGGAGTTTCCCCCACAGAAGGTTAGGCAAGCCACTTACCCCGAATCGGCTCAAAATCAACCCCAAACCACGTTCTTGCCACGAGTACTCGACTCCAAATGGCCCAAATCTGTTCAATTCAATTGCATAATGTGAATATCACTTCAATTAACTGATTCCACAAATAAATTCTAAGCTAATACGCGAAATTAGGTAAAATGACCAAAATGCCCCCATAGGCCCACGTCTCAGAATCAGGTAAAATTTACATTTTCAGAATCCTCATACTCTCACGAGTCAAACCATACTAAAATTATCCAAATCTAATATCAAATCCCTAATCAAAATTCGAAATTTAGGTCTAAGAACTTTCCCCCAATTTTCATCCCAATTCCGAAATTAAATGATGAATTCATGTTTAGATTTTTGGATTATAAGCAAAATGGCATTAAGAATAATTACCCAATTGATATCTCTGAAAAACCCTCAAAACCTCGCTCAAATCCGAGCTCCCAAGCTCTAGTTTTCACAAAAATGGCTAAACCCTCGACTTTGAAATTTTGTATTCTGCCCAGCTAATTCCTTCTTCGCGAACGCATAAGGACCCTTGAGTTCGCGAAGCACAACTCCGCTTGGTCAAGCTTTTCTCTTTCGAGAACGCGATGCCCAAGTCGCGAAGGCGATGACCAACTTCCCTCCTCCTACGCAAATGCGGGACTACCTTCGCGAACGCATAGGTATAAGATCCCACAGCCTCGCGAATGCGGTAATACCTTCGTGAACGCGAAGCATTAACCCTTCACCAGCCCCAGCTCCTCTTCGCGAATGCGAGACCCTACTCGCGAATGCGAAGAAGGAAACCAGAACTGACTGCTGCAACTTTTTCTGCAATTCTCTAAGTTCCAAAAATGATCTGTTGAGCATCTGAAACACCCCCGAGGCTCCAGGACCTCAACCAAACATGCCAACCAATCCTAAAACATCATTCAAACTTGTTCCAATCTTCGGAACGCTCAAAACAACGTCAAAACACCAATTTAACATCGGATTTAAGCCTAAGATCACCAAAACTCTCAATGTATGCTTTCGGTCAAAAAGTCTATCAAACCTCGTCCGAATGACCTGAAATTTTGAAAACTCCAACTTCCCGAATTCCATTCCGACCCCGATATCAAACTCACTATCAAACTGAAAACTTCAAAAATTCAACTTTCGGCATTTCAAGCCTAAATTAGCTATGGACCTCCAAAACACAATCTGAACACGCCCCTAAGCCTGAAATCACCCAACGGAGCTAACGGAACCGTCAAAATTCCATTCCGAAGTCGTCTTCACACTGCTCCGAGTAAGGCCCAAATTCTACAACTTAAACTCTCATTTAGGGACTAAGTGTCCCAAAACTCTCCGAAACTTCAAATAAATCCTTCCGGCAACTCACAATAGCAGAAACAAACACTAGGAATGCAGTTAATAGGGGATCAGGGCGTAAATTCTTAAAATGACCGACCAGATCATTACATATATATGCATAGTTAAATTAATAAGCATAAGAAGTAGAGATAATAAACTTAACCACAAAGAGATAAAATTTTTTAAATCGGTGCAAAAATAATTCAGTAAGTAATAAAATTCTCAATACAACATTTGTAATTATCAAAGACAGTACTATGACTCAAGCTCGGAGCAAGTAAATAATTATGAAAGAAAAAAATATAAATTCCAGAGTGACGGAATCCTGAACTAAATCACAAAGAAAAATGTTCTAGCTAAACTCGCAATGCACAAATCCCCAGCTAATTACACAAGAAATTAAATCCTAGGGTATTTCGCCATGGAAATATTTAGGTAAATCCGTAGGTAAATCTGGGAAATTTATCCCCAGGTAAATATCCCCATGTAATCCACCTTTTTTCTAGTAGTGGATTCCGAAGTGTCGAAAGTTGGTTCTTTTATTATAGTATCTCTCAATTATTTGCTTCTGTGCAGCCATCCTGTATACGGTAAAATCGGAGGGTCCAATTTTTTGTTATTATAGTGCCTTGTAAGCATATTTCACAAGGTTCGAAACCAGGGTCGAGGTTCACCCTCGAGGGCTATCGACGCTCGACCTCGGGGCGATGCAAACCAACGACTATGATGGAAAAGTGGGGAGTTCCCAAGGCGCACAACTAGGGCTGACAAAGTCTAGTGAGCTAAGTTTAAACCCGAATCATGGCGTCAACTAGCTGTCCCATCCCCATATCTTTGTAATAAACGCACTTGTACTATGTTGGGATTTCCCTCATATATAAAGGGGATCATTGTCATTTTGTAAACATTTGTTGCACAATACTAAATACACAAGAACATTCTCTCTGCTCTCTAACATATTCTCTTGATCTCATTACATCATTTATTGCTTATTCTTGGCATAAAGGGCCACCATTGATTTATCGTAACTGTTAGTTGCCGCTCGATATCTCCCAACCGAGCTTCAGACTCGACCCCGAGGCCCTCGAATAGGCAAGCTCGAGGCCCCGATTATTAATCATTCGGTTTGGTTATCACATTGCTCTCAAGCTCTTATCTCGTTTCAAAGTCTTTCACATAACATCAACTTCTTAACAACTAGCATAAAAATAGATCACGTATTTTTAGAACCACTAAATCAAATTTAATTGTTATTATCATTTTCGCGGTAAACAGTTTGGCGTCCACCGTTGGGCTAAAAATAATAGTGATTATTTTATTGCTAGTTTTACTACACAACACAAGGTATCTTTCACACTTATTCTTGTCCAAGATCTTTGACTTCACGTCAAAATGCCTAAACCAGTAAGTGTGCCCAAAAACAACAGCCTCAAAAACTATGGGAAGGGCGGTACGGTAATTCTAGGTATAGATGTGCCACCATGAAACCCTGAGAGCACACCGAAGATGATTCCCAAGGGTACGACCTCGTGCGACGCTCAATGTGTTAACGTTGATCCTCACATTAACCAGGGAGCGCGCCGAGAAATTCAGCGGGAAACTCAGAAACATCCAACCTAGGCAAAAAGAGAGATTCCTTAGCATGTCGTTCATATGATTATCGGGGGGACCAACATCCCCCAAGGACCCATAATCAAACGGATAAAAAATATTCGTTACAATAGAGGGTCCGATCCGAGACCGCATGATCGAAGACACCCTCGGATTCAGTGAGGAGGATCTCGAGACCTTGGCAGAACCACACAATGACGCTCTGGTAATTTTATTTCTTTTAAGCAATGTTCGAATTAAACGTGTGCTTGTGGATCCAGGCAGCTCGGCCAACGTAATCAGGTCGAAGGTAGTAGAGCAATTAGGGTTGCTCGATCAGATCGTACCCGCCTCCCGGGTCCTCCATGGCTTTAACATGGCCAGCGAAGTAACAAAAGGAGAGATCACCCTCCTGTTTGACATGTTCGTTACAGTTCAGAACACCAAGTTCCACATTATCGACGGTGAGATGAGGTACAACACATTGCTTGGCATGCTGTGGATACACAACAGGAGGGCAGTGCCGTCAACTCTGCACCAGATGATAAAATTTCCAACAAAATATGGCATAACAACCATATATGGAGAACAACATGTGGAAAAAGAAATGTTCGCAGTTTACCAGGAGGCACCGAGCCCCATACACTCCACCTAGGATGCGTTTGGGAGCATACAGACCCCCGAGGACAATGAAGAAGATTTCCTCGCTCCTCAAACTTTTGTTGCCCCCGAAGAGTCGGATACAACAAAATCAACAATTAAAGAACTGGAGAAAGCTGTTTTGATCGAGCATCTCCTGGATCAGAAGGTATACCTGGGAACAGGATTAACCCCCGAACTCAGGAAAAACTTATTCAATTCCTTATTAACAACATTGACTGTTTCGCTTGGTCTCACTTAGATATGACAGGACTCTCACCAAAAATAACCACCCACCGATTGAGTGTCGACCCCGGGTTTAAACCGGTGAAGTAAAAAAAGAAGACCTAGTCTGAAGTAAAACACGCATTCATCAAGGATGAGGTAACGAAACTCCTTAAAATAAGGTCTATTAGAGAGGTAAAGTACCCCGAATGGCTGGTCAACGTAGTGGTAGTGCCCAAAAAGGGAAATAAGTTAAGAATGTGCATAGATTATAAAGATTTAAATAAGGCGTGCCCCAAGGATTCTTTCTAATTGCCTAACATTGATCGTCTGATCGATGCTACAGCCGGCCATGATACCCTCACCTTTCTTGATTCCTACTCGGGGTATAATCAAATTCAGATGAACCCCGAGGATAGGGAAAAGACTTTGTTCATCACGAAGTATGGTACCCACTATTACAATGTAATGCCATTTGGGCTGAAAAACGCAGGGGCTACGTACCAACGTCTAGTTAATCAAATGTTCGAGCATCAAATAGGCAAATCCATGGAAGTTTATATTGATGACATGCTAGTTAAGCCCTTGTGCGCAGAGGACCATCTGACTCATTTGTAGGAAACATTCGACATCCTCAGAAGTTACAACATGAAGCTTAACCCCGAGAAATGTGCCTTCGGAGTGGGTTCAGGCAAATTCTTAGGCTTCATGGTATAGAACAGGGGGATCGAGATCAATACCGACAAAATCAAGGCCATCGAAGAAATCACTGTGATAAATAATGCAAAGGTCGTGCTACGACTGATAGGGAGAATAGCGGCTTTGGGCAGATTCATATCAAGGTCATCGGACAGGAGTCATCATTTTTTCTCTTTACTCAAAAATAAAAACAACTTCGAGTGGACTCCAGAGCGCCAACATGCCTTAGAGGAACTGAAACGGTAACTGACTAGTCCGCCTTTGCTCCACACGCCAAAAGAGGATGAAATATTGTACCTATACCTATCCATATCCAAGATAGCAGTAATCAATGTGCTAGTTCGAGAAGAGCAAGGTATGCAATTTCCTATTTATTATGTAAGTCGGACCCTAGAGGATGCCAAAATTAAGTATCCGCACTTAGAAAAATTTGCTCTTGCGTTAATAAGCGCATCGCGAAAACTGAAACCCTATTTTCAATGCCACTGTATTTGCGTTTTAACAACGTACACTCTCCGAAGCATATTGCATAAGCCCGAACTATCAGGCTAATTGGCCAAATGGGCCATCGAACTCGGGGGGTATGATATCGAGTATTAACCCCGAATGGCCATCAAATCCCAGTTTCTGGTGGACTTCGTGGCCGACTTCTCACCCTTCCTAGTACCCGAGGTAGAAAAGGAACTCTTACTAAAATCAGGCACATCTTCTGGTGTATGGGCCTTGTTCACTAACGGCGCCACAAATGTGAGAGGATTCGGACTCAGTATAGTCCTGAAGCCGCCCGCGGGTGGCATAATTCGGCAATCTATAAAAACTGCAAGATTGACTAACAATGAAGCCGAGTATGAGGCTATGATTACATGTTTAGAATTGGCCAAAAGCCTGGGATCTGAGATCGTTAAAGCAAAATGCGATTCACTCCTAGTAGTAAACCAGGTAAATGGGCACTACGAGGTCCAAGAAGACAAGATGCAAAGGTATTTGGACAAAATCCAAATCATATTACTCCGTTTCAAATAATGGACCCTGGTCTACATACCTTGTGAGCAGAATAGCAAGGCCGATACCCTCGCAAACCTGGGATCATCTGTTAAAGAAGATGACCTACTCCCCGGGGCTATTATTTAGTTGTCCAAATCAGTGGTCGAGGAAGGTCATGCCGAGATTAATTCTACTAGACTAACATGGGATTAGATAAATAAATATATTGACTATATGAAAGACGGAAAATTACCCACGAACCCAAAGGAATCGAGGGCTCTCCGAACCAAAGCAGCCCGGTTCTCGCTCGATGAAAATAGGACTCTATACAGAAGAACTTTTGATCGCCCCCTAGCAGTATGCCTGGGGCCAGGAGACACAAATTATGTACTCCGAGAAATTCACGAAGGTACTTGTGGAAACTACTCCGGCGCCGATTCCTTAGTCCGAAAGGTGATCAGGGCAGGCTACTATTGGGACAACATGGAAAAAGACAAGAAGGAATTCTTCCGAAAGTGCGACAAATGCCAGAGATTTTCACCTATGATTCACCAACCCGACGAATAGCTACATTCGGTCTTATCGCCATGACCATTCATGAAATAGGGAATGGACATTGTCAGACTCCTACCAACGGCATCAGGTAAAGCTAAATTCATTTTATTTATGACTGACTATTTCTCAAAATGGGTGGAAGCGCAGGCCTTCGAGAAGATATGAGAAAAAGAAGTCATTAGCTTCATCTGGGATCACATTATATGCCGATTCAGAATTTCTTCCGAGATAACATGCGATAATGGGTGGCAGTTCATCGGAAGCAAAGTCACACAGTTCATTGAGGATCACAAAATCAAGAGAATCCTGTCGACGCCTTACCACCCATGTGCAAATGGCCAGGCCGAGTCCACAAACAGAACCATCATCCAAAACTTAAAAAAGAAGTTGGAAAGGGATAAGGGAAAATGGAGAGAAATATTGCCCGAAGTGCTATGGGCATACCGAAAAACTTCAAAATCAAGCACATGGGAAACACCTTTCTCTCTAGTGTATGGCGCCGAGGCTCTGATACCTAGGTCGGGGAGCCAAGTGCCAAATTCCAACACACCACTGAGAGCTCGAACAACGAGGCCATGACTACAACCCTCGAACTATTAGATGAAAAGTGAGAAGCCTCACTGTTCCGAAGGGCCGCCCAAAAGCAAAGGATCGAAAGGCATTATAACAGGAGAACAAACTATCGACATCTCAGAGTTGGGGACTGGTCCTAAGGAAAGTCACCCTCAACACCCGAAACCCTAATGAAGGAAAGCTATGACCAAATTGAGAAGGACAGTACTGCGTCCTCGGAGTAATCGGCAAAGGGTCCTTGTTGGCCTAAGAACAGGTGAAGTTTTGAAGAATGACAAATGAACTCAGTCATGGACCAGGTCCATCTTATGAAGCACAATCATGATCAATCTATGCATGTGAGATGCACGTGAAGGAGATAAGTCCTATTGATCAAGCAGCAATATCTCCCGATCTGATCGAAAAGGTTGCATATTAGATAAGGGGAGAAAAGTCTCCTTATATGAAGAGAACTCGATCCAGGATAAAGATAGTGTTAGAGTTTGAGATCATCATGAGCTCTTCTACGATAGAAGTTCAGCAATTGAGTTCCGATCAAACTCTGATTACTAACCTATTAAATGACAGTGATTGTTCTCTTTTACAGGTATTACACATACGCATAAGTGAAACTAAATTGAGAGCAAAAAGCAAGGCGATTTTGCAAGCAATATATGTGTGATTTGAGTGTGCGCTCCTGAAGCTACTTGAACGAGATAGAAGAACCAGTTCCATTGTGTTTATCTTTTACTCTAGTTCAATTATAACAGGTAGTTTAAAGTTGTACCTTTCAGCTTTCATATAAGCAATTGTATTAGGTACCTAGAGTGTTCAAGTTATAGCTAACTTGAAGTTGTCGCAACAATTGAGGTTGTGTGCCATAACGGGATTAGAGTTAATCCTTAGGTTTACAAAGAGTTTTTGTAAATGCTGTTTTGGCTCAGTGATTTTAGTGAAAGTTTAAGAAAATCCTACTGAGTAGTAGGTCGTGGTTTTTCACCTTTTGAGCCAGGTGCTTTCCAAGTAAAAATTTCTGTGTTCTTTATTTTATGTACTTATTATTCCACAAACAGTAGTAGTTAGAACACCTAGAAGAACCAGGTTCTTTTATAGCAAAAATTGGGTACCATATAAATCACCCCCCCTCTTGTGTGGTATTGACGCTTAAAACATCAATTAGTATCAGAGCAGGTTATCCTTGAAGAGGCTAACACCTTAGGAAAAGATCAAAATGAGTGCACCATCTGGGAACTGGGAAGGGCAATCCACTGCTAGGCCTCCACTTTTAAATGGTCGGTACTATTCTTGGTGGAAGAATAGGATGAGGGATCACATCATAGGAGAAGACTATGAACTCTGGGACATAGTCACTGATGGTCCTCTAGCAACCACAAAGAAGAATGCTGAAGGAGTGGATGTGCCGAAGACAAGAGCTGACTGCACTGCTAATGATTTGAAGAAATGGGAGAAAAATGCCAAGGCCAAGAAATGGCTTGTCTGTGGACTGGGTCCAGATGAGTACAGTAGAATTCAAAGCTGTACCTGCTAAGGAAATTTGGGACACTTTGCAAGTGGCCCATGAAGGAACACCTCAAGTGAAGAGGTCCAAAGAAATACTGCTGTATTCTTAGTATGAGAATTTTACCATGAAGAAAGGAGAAACCATCCAAGAGATGTATACAAGGTTCACCACACTGACAAATGTACATAAGTCTCTTGGAAGGGTTATTCTTGAAGAAGACAAAGTTGAGAAGATTTTGACAAGGGTTCTACCAGTCTTTTGGGTAAGCAAAATCACTGCTATTCTGGAATAAAAGAATATTGCTATCCTCAAGCTGGATGAACTAATGGGAAACCTCACTGCCTATGAACTGAGAAGGCAAACCATAAAAATGGATGCACCCAAGAAGGAAAGAAGTCTGGCTCTCAAAATTGCTGAAGGTTCAGATATGGAGGATGATGAAATGGCTATGATCACAAGTGATTTCAAAAAGTACCCGA